AAGTGGGGAGAAAGAGTGCAAGATTTTTTCTTCCTTTGTTTTTGTTTTTGTTTTTTCAGTGCTGGTGAACCGCAGGCCTTGTGCCTGCCACCACTGACCTACATCACCCATCCTTCTTCCTTTTTTTGGAACTACTGAACCTCAGTTAGGGTCTCAAACTCAGAATTTAGCACATCTATAGTTGCTCTAAACCAATGCTTCTATGAAGGAAGATACATGGGAAGAGAGAGGATCCCTTCCTGGTCAGCCTCGTGCCTTCTCCCTGCAAGCTGATTCTCCCACACACACGTACATCCACACTCACTCACACTCACACCTTGACTGAAGGACAGTATTGTTTCTGAACTGATCAAGTGCCAGTTTGTAACACCTGCTTTGGGAGAGTCTAGTAAACCAATTACTAATCTATGCCATAAAGTGTAGGCATGGCTGAAAGCATTCATGTCACGAGAGATCCAGGCATGCATTTCTTCAAGGGTATTCTCAGCTAGCTAGTCTTTCCCTTTGCTCCTAGGGCAGCTACCCATCCGAAAAAGAAAGTCCAATCTGCATTATCTCCCCATCGGTATTGGCTGAGGAGTCAATGATGCTGCTTACTGTGTGAGACTCAAAAGGCCACGCAGGCTATGGTTTGAATGTGTCCCCGGGAGTTCCTGATTCACAGGCAGACAGTTTTTTTTTTGGGGGGGGGGTTGGGATATAATTCAGGATTAAATGAGGTCATGGCTCCATGGTGGCATTAGTATCTTTGTAAGAAGAGCAAGAAAGACAGCACTGCTGTGCATGCTCTGTACCCATCTGTGCTGCCTTCTACCAGGTTAAGGTGTAGCAAGTGGCTTTGCAAGTTACCAGAACCATGGCCTTGGACCACCCAGCCTCCTGGACTGCACAAAATAAACCTCTCTCCTTTATAAATTACCCAGCCTGTGGTATTCCATTAGAGCAATAGAAAGTGGACTATGACAGGCCACAAATGTGTCTTCACTTTCAAAGCATTAATCCAGAATTAGCAGGAAGAGTGTCAATAGGAAGCAAACCCTACACATGCAATGTATTAGTCTGTTTTCTGTAGCTACAATGAAATGCTTATGGTTGCATAAGCTATGAGAAGCAAAGGTTTCTTTTGGCTCACATTCTGGTCCACAGTCACAGGGTCCCATCTGGTGATGACCTCATTGCTTGCAATCCCAAGGTGGCACAGGGCATCACATAGTGAGAGACGGGGACCACATGTGTGTCTCTATGTTCTCTGGTCTCCCTCCTTCCTCTTAAAAAGCCACCAGGGTACAATTATGGGGGCTCCAGCCCATGACTTTACCTAACCCTGATCAAGTTCTGAAGGCCCCTGCTGAGCACCGTAGTCTGATGAAGTTTCCACCTTCTTGACACCTCTTGACGGGAGTTAAATGTCAGTATGTGCATCCTTGAAGAACATGCTCAAACCACATCCAAAGTACAGCACGCTACAACACCAATGATCCTTGGGAAGCCTGGGCAAAGTGAAGTATGCCCATCATAAAAGGACAAATGGTTCATGATTCCACTCATACAAAGCATTTAGGGGAAATCCATCAAATCCATCGGGATGGGGGAAGGTGGAATGGGGTTTCCAGGGGCTGGAGGTGGGAGGAATGGGAAATTAGTGGTTAATGGGGGACAGGATTGCACTTTTTCAAGATATGAGAGCTCTAGACATGGATGGTGGTGATCGTTACACAACCAAGTGAATGGATTTGATACCACAGAACTGCATACTTTAGGTGATAAATATTATATTGTGTCTCTTTTATCATAATTTTTAAAAATAAACTTAATTAGAACAAATAATCCCATGAAAGTAGGAGGCAAGCAGTGCAGCACAGACTGTGAACTCCTGGGAGGCTTTCAAGGCAGAGAAACTTCCTGGAGGAGGTGATGCTCATGTGGCTGCCCAGGCCACTTTGAATGAGCCCCGAGAGCTGTCTAAACAGAGCGTGGAGCCCAGCAAAGTGTGTTTGTCCATAAACCCTGCTGATGTCCATGGGAATCGAGAGCCAGCCCTCAAATGCCAAGACAGCTCGGTCACAGAGCCCTGGCATGGCATGCATGCTTAGGTGACCGTGTGACATATATTTTGAGACTGGGTTACAGCAGGGAGAGCCTGGACTTGGGAACAGGCAGATCTGGGTTGAAATCCTAACTTAGACACTTACTCGGGCAAATTACTTTCTATGTCTGAGCCTCAGTTTCCCCACTCACTACATTTCTATCTGAGGGGGCAGTAACTATGAATATCAAAGATACCATGTAAAAAGTTTCACATCCAGGGTCTGGAAGTATTACAAACATGTAGACTCTCAGCTGTGATTCTGGAATCCAGAAAGCTCCAAAAAGTGAAAGCTTCCTAAACTCATTTGCTTGCAAAATCTGACTGCAACCAACGCACTGCTATTTATCTCACTTAGTGTAATTCGCTTTTATTTCTCTCTGTACGAAGATTAACATGCCTGACAGGATGCTGGTCCCGCCTCGCCTGGGAGTGGAATGCATATAGGATACGCAAGTATTAGCTTCCTCAAGCCCAAAGTGTCTGAACTAGGTTAGAGGGATGAGGACTGTAATTGTAGCTATCTGTGACCCTTTAGATTTATTTAAATCTTTTATCACCTATCAGATAGTAAGTGGATTCCATGCTCCTGTTTGTTTTGGGGTTTTGTTTGCTTCTTGTGCTGCTATCAAACCAGGGCCTTGTGCATGCTAGGCAAGGACCTAGAGTTGTCAGATTTGTAGAGCTAGAAAATAGAATGGGAGTTGCCAGGGAACCTGGGGAGCAGGCATGGGCTTAGTGATGAATAAGTTCAAGTTTCAGTCTGAGAAGATGAAAAAGTCCTGCAGGTGGACGGTGGTGGTGGTTGCCCGGCAACGTGAATGTACTGGATGCCACTGAGTTGCACACTTAAAGCGGCAAATTGTATACCTTTCCATGGTAAAGAAGGAAAAAGCAAACGTCAGAAGAACAAACCCTGGCATCCTGAATCTGCTTGCAGCAGCAGAGCATCTGGTGTGTACTCTGCCCCTCACAGCGCAGGGCAGCAGTCAACATGGCCCTGGGACCCCTCGTGTCCCTGTGGACCGGCACCCCTCAGGGACTCGGGGAACGGGAGTGGAGCAGGAGCAGGCCTCACATCCCACACGGGTGGGCTGATGGCACCTGGTACAGAAGTGGGCCGCCTGGAGCTGGACCAGCTTGTGACAACCGTCAGGCTCCCTGCGCATCCTGATTCACTGCAGGATGTTCGTGCTCAGGGTCCCAAGCAAAGGATTCGAGGTCTTTGCTTCTCTTTGAAAGAAGCCACTCTCCAGCCAGAAGAGGCAAATAGAAAGGAGAAATAAGGTCTGCTTTCCTTAATGTCTTGGCGCTCAAAATCCTCTGGGCTGTTCTGGTGTTTTGTTTTGTTTTGTTTTGTTTTGTTTTGTTTTGTTGTTTTTTTGTCAAAGCAGGAGCCTTTGCAGCTGAGCTAGAATATTTGGATCATTTCCATGCATCTGGTGAAAAAGTTAGCTTATATTTTCTGAGGTGCTCTCCATTTTTTATGAGACAGATACCACTAATCCATGGCCTGCAGTGATCCGCAGGTCCCAGGGTCCCTGCCCAACAAGAAGGCACAGACACAGGCCTCTGAGGGCCACAGGAGAGCTGAGTGCCTGTCCCACTGCCATACCTGACAGTCCTATGGCTTCCCTGGGTTTCTGGCTCTTTGTTAATATAACCAACCCGGTACCTCACTAAGGATCCAGCCACAGATCAGCTAGCAAAACTAGGCCCAGCCTGGCCGCCCTAGAGGGGTATAAGGAAAGCAACTGGACACAAAGATATTGAAGAGCTGCCCAGTTGGGGCAGCCAGACAGCAGAGGGAAGAGGCTTCTCCTGCGCTACACAGCCTTGGGAAAGGAGTGCATCTGCACCTGAATTCTGAGCTGTCCGAAGGGAGCTAGAACTACGGAAGGCGGGGGTGTTAAACCATGAGGATGGGTGGTAGGGCTCCTGACCAAGCCCGACCAAGATGGAGACACACCTGGCTCCTCCCTCCCCTTCTCCACATCCATCCCCACCCTTGACTGAAGGCTCAACGGCTTCTGGGAAGTGCACTTGGAAGGAAGCAGATCACTGGGACCTAAAGTAGAGCAAGGGGACCCCCGTAATGGCCACCAATCCAGTCTTTGTGGCTGTTTTGATGATACCCAGCTCGGAAGGAGTCTCTCTGCTTTTTCAGTCTTACCTGGTATTTCTGTCTTAAGGAACAGAATACAAAGTGTGCAAAATGGGAAGCTCATGTGTGCCAGGCTGCCCATCTTATCCAAGCTCCCCTGCTCTGCACGCAGGCAGGTGTGAGATTCAGGTGAACACAGCTGGATTCACCCACTGGCTGCCAGGGGAGGAGGCTGCCCGTCTGGTTCCAGGCCACTAGGGACCAGGCCCATTGTTTCCTTTAGGAGGGTTGGGCTTCCAGGTAGAGACCAGAGGTCACTGTGCTCCAATGGGCCAGACTATAGATTAGGAACCCAATTGCTATTTGTTTAAACCCAGCCAAGGTACCCAGGCACCCGACCTTGAGCCTAACACAACGCTAAGGATACAACCTGCTTTACAGGATGAGTAAGACATCCAGGGAAGGTCCAGAGAGGGCGAGTAAACAGTGATGATAATGGCCAGCATTCGTGCCAACCCTTCCTCCGAGGCAAGCTCCCATCTTGTCTGTCCTGGGCATCGCTCTGCCGCAGGAGGAGGAGGGACCATTATCCCCACAGAACAGGGAGCGAAACCTGGCACTGCTAACCACCACCAGCAGTGGAATCAGATTCAAAGGCCATGGTGCTGTCAATGGATGTCCCTAATGTTACTCTGTGCCACCAGGTCAAGGAAGAAGGAAAGGAGCAGAGAAAAAAGAAAGCAGGAAGGAAAGCAAGGATAAAGAGAGGACCCACCATGGGCAAGATACACACACACTCCTTGCTTGGGGAATGGTTCTGTGATGCCTTTAATGATGGCATGTGGGAAAATCAGGCTTTAGAAGTTCAGTTTTAGCAGTGTCAACGGCTTTGGTTCTTTCCATCAGCACTACCGGAAATTCAGCAGGGTTGTGTATTCCCAAGCAGGAGCAGCCGCTCCCTTCATTCCTGAGCAGGGAGCTCGGCTTATCAGCTGGCCTTTTCCCTTCGCTCCAAGCCTGGTTGATGACACTGGAAGTTTTGTTCCTTTTTCTGGAAGGTTCTGTTGTGCAAGGTGGGAGAACAGATACTCACGTGGGTGTGCTGAAGACAAGTTTATCTGCATCTCTACGGTGGATGGCTCCGTAGCAGACAGAGGACAGAGCCAGCTCCTTTCAGCACGGCTAGAAGGGCCCCTTCTTCCCACCCACAGAGGCACAGCCACGCTTGGAGAGGACAAGCCCTTACCACAACCAGGCAGACGGCACTTGCCAGGTATGTCCAGGGCCGGGAGAGAGGTGACTACAGAGAAGCTCGTGTGGTATTTACACACAGTGGAGTACTACTATTCTGCCAGAACCAAGAACATCTGTGGAAAAGTGGATGCACCTTGAGACCATCATGTTAAGTAAAATAAATCAGACACACAAGCTTACAGACCTCATGGTTTCTATCATATGAGAGCCCCAAGGTGTAAATAAATTAAAAGGGAAAATAAAAGACAGGTCATAGGAAACAGGGAGTGAGATCTTTTACAAACGTGAAGAGGACCAAGAGGTGGAGGGCAGGGGAGGGAAAGGGGAGATCAAAAGAATGCACCAACTCCCCGAGAGGAATATAATCATCATGTACTACAAAGATCTCCTAATAAAGAAATAAAAATTTAAAAAACCAAATTATATGCCAGAGAGAGAGAAGCTTGTGCAAAAGTCACCCACACTAACACAGAGGACTCCGGCTGAGATGAAAAACCTCATCTCTCTCATTCAGACCGCCCAGCACACACCACACTGGCGGACGCAGAAAAGGCAAACAACTTGTGTGTTTGCTAATCTTCAACCCGGAAGGAGAGTTTCATGACAGAGCAGCTTCCTGGCCCACAGGCAGAGCTTTACCCCTGAATCTGGGCCATCATTCTGATTGCACCCTGTAAACCAGTAAAGCTCCTGCCCGCCGTGCCCTCCTCCCTGTTTGCCAAGGGAAATCCACAGCAGTGCCTCACCTACACGGTTACAATGGACACCAGGCTGCAACTGCAGCGGGCGAGTAGGAAAAATGACACCGATTCTCTGGTCAATGCCATCTCTCGGTCTGGTCCCCAGTTAGTAAACAAACAGCTTGTCCTTGGAGCCAAGGCTTCCAGTTCCTGACCCACTGGCTTGAGAAGGCCAAAAGCTGTCCCCCGGCTGTGCACCGAAAGAGGCATTCTTGGCGCTCTGAGTCACCAGGTTATTGATGGGGACAGGTGCTCATAATTCAGCCTAACCCACTTTGGCCTTATTTTCCCTTGTCTGGAGGCCTCTCGATTTAGGAATAAACCCCGGCTCCTGCTGGCCTGGAAGGATCTCAGTCTGAATTTGCCGAGGTGGGTTGCTAAATTTAATTGCCAGTTTCCATGCCATGTGATGGTGTGTGACAGGCCAGCTCACCCAGTGAGTTAGCCAGGGGTTTTAAATAAATGCTTTCGGACGGAAAGGATGATAGAGATTCCTATTATTCACCAGCGAGCCCAGGCTCTGAGTTGGTCCAGGTTCACAACAGAGTCCCAGCACCGTTAATCTCACGAGCTCTGTCGCTGCTTCCCACTGTGGCCGCAGACAGCCCTAAGAGGCCTGTGGAAAGAGCTCCAGCCAGGCATTTAGGAGACCTCTCCAGGCCAGCCTGTCCCAGCTTTCTGTGACCTTGGGACACAAATAGCTCTGTAGACCCGTCTCAGCTTCTTCTTCTGTTTTTTGTTTGTTCATTTGTTTTTTGTTTTATTGTACTAGAGATTGAATCCAGGGCTTCTGCCTCCCCCCGCCCCAATTTGCTTTTATTTTGAGACATGGTCTTGTTATGTTGCTAAAGTGCACAAGTTGTTCTCAAACTGTGATCGTCCTACCTCAGCCTGTCAGAGTGCTGCGGTTACAGGTACACACCACCATGCCCGGTTCTGTTTCTGCATCTGGGAGCAGAAACGGATAACAAAAAAGCAGGAATAGCAGCTACAATACAGAACTCTCAGGAATCACGTGATAGATGTGCAAAGGACATTGTTAGTGAAAGCCTCCACAGAACACGTGGCCACACAGAGTGCATGCGAAGCACATGCTCTACCACTAAGCTGCACTCCATGATGTCTCCTGATGCCTTATTCTTTAATTATCCTTGATCTCTCCCTGGGTTTCAGCCTGAATTTTGTTCATTTGGCCAGTTGGTTTGTTGGTTTGTTGTGGTCCTAGGAATTGGACCCAGAGTTTTCCCTCTGACCTACATCCCCATCCCTTTTTTATTTTTTATTTTGAGGCAAGTTCTCAGCAGATTGCTAGGTTGCCCAGGCCAAGCTTGAACTTGCAATCTCCCTGCCTCAGCCTCCCAGAGTTGTGGGGTTATAAGTGTGAGCCCCACTTCCAGCTTCTCTCCCTTGATTTCGGTACCTGTTTCCGTCTATCTCTTTCACCTGGCTGCTCTGCGCTGGGCATGGAAAAAGCAGCTCTGTGCTGTGCAGATACAGGAGGGTCTCGTGAAAACCCTACTTTTTTCCTCCCATGAACTTGCTCTAAAATTCTATTTGTTTTTCTCAGCTAGAATTAATGCTGCTGGCACTGCTAGAAATCAGAAATCTTAATTTTTAGAGGAGAAGAGTCTCTCGGATATGAAGGAAAACAGTTTAGTAGAGGAAGAAAATTACACAACGGGAAAATACAGGAATGAGGCCACTCCCAGCTTCCCTTCCTTCCCTGTGGCCTGTATATCTTTTGGAATGAAATGCTGGCTTGGTGAGAGGTTGAGAAAAATAAGTGTGTTGGTTTCAGTGATTCGGAGATGTGTGGAAAAGCCGAAATGAAAACAAACGTGGTTGTTGTCAGATGGTTAGTGGGCTTCTTGTGTCTGCACCTTGCAATCAGAGGCACCAATATTACCCCAGACCGGTGATGGCAAACCTTTTAGAGCTTTCAGTGATAACCAACAGCCTGCTGTGGCACACGTGCCATATGTTCGCCACCACTGTCCCAGACTCTCTTTTCAAGGATCTTTGCAGACAGAAACATCCTTGGAGCAGAGTGTCTCCCTCTAGAGAAAACGGCTGTTTTGTTTGCAGCCCAGTGTAATAAGGATAATGCCTTCCCTGAGCAAAGGTTGGCATGTTTGCTTACAGCCTGTTATAAAAGATTGAGGTTTCCTAATTTGATAGTCCTTTCCTGTAGCATACACTCTCGGAGAATAGAGGGGTTGCCTAACCCTGCTTGCCCACCCTAGGTGCTGCTCTGCTGTGATTATCAAACTGTCTTTTCTCTTTGACCATCCCAGTGAGACTGAGCAGCCTAACCTGTTAAATATGCAAACTGAGGGGCTGGGGATTTAGCTCAGCTGCAAAAGCGCCTGCCTGGCAAGCGCAAGGTCATGAGTTCGGTTCCCGGTACCGGAGAAAAACAAACAAAAAAAATGCAAACTGAACAAAATCTCAGAAGCATCACAGCTCTTGGAAGTTGCCGTATGATCAAAGATTAAAACATACACTCATGTTCCAGGCAGACTTATCTCTGTGCTCCCAACACAAAAATCACCCAATCAAGTTCTTCTCTGAAACTCAACAGTCCTTAAGTGGATAAAGGGAAAACAAATCCCTTGTAAGGAGTTTTTACATCTTGTATACAATTGGTGTGACTCTAATATTCAAAGGGTTTCCCTGTAGGTGAAATAGCTTATTCTGTGGAGCTCTAGAGAAATAAACTGAACAGCAGAAAATAGTTCAGTTCAATATATTTTTTAAAAACCCACAAATGCTAGTATTTAGAGTTACTCCAAAGATAATAAATGTTAAGGTCTTAAGCTCAGTGCTGGCTAGGATGACCATATATGGGAATTCTATATCGGAAAAAGCTAAGACTGGGTGATTGCAAAGAGATCTTTGAAGGTGCTACTGGTGAAGATGTTGTTTGAGGGACAATCTAATCAGATTTTCTTAGATCAAGTTCTGGGGAAAGTGAGTTGGTGTATCCAATCAGGACCCTCAGCTAGCTGCATTTGAGATGACAACATTGTAGGGCTATCTCCTTCAGAAATTCAGTCAAGCCTAAATTACACAGGAGTCAGGTGGTGTTAGAGAATCAACCAAATTTACCAAGAGCCTAAGGCACAAACTAGAGAGACACAACCTTAATTTGAGAGCAGAAGACAAACTTGTCAAATGACTGTAATTGTATTGCCCAGTATTCAAGGCACCTTACCCCTCTCTAGCTGCTAGGTATTCCCAAAATAAATCAATAATCAAGTGTTTGATTTAGAAGATCAAACATCAGAGGAAAAAGGATTGAATGGCATTAGGCTTGCTTGGTCTTGTGGGGCACCCTAGGCCTTTGCATTAGAGGCTGATGGAATATTTCTTCTCCAATGGAAAATATACTTTTCTAGCAACCAGAAGATTCTTGTTCACTAATTACCATGTCTTTCTCCTTTGACAGTGTTACAAATACTCAACAATTCTTAGTCTCATCATCCCTGTATTAGTCTGTTTTATGTTGCTATAACAAAACACCTGACACTGGATACCTTACAAAAAAAGACATTCATTTAAGGTTCAAAAAGAGATTCAAAAGCATGGTGTCAGTACCTGCTTGGCTCTGGTACTGGCCTTCTAGCTACATCACAAGATGGCAAATTGGGGCTGGGGATTTAGGTCAGCAGCACAGCACCTGCCTGGCAAGCGCAAGGTCATGATTTTGATTCCTGGTACCAGGAAAAAAAAAAAAAAAGATGGCAAATGGCATCATGGTGGAAGTACATGCAAAGAAGAGAAGAGAGATCACACAACAAGACAGGAATGGGGGAATCGGGGGCCAGGTTTGCTCTTAGAACAATTCACTCTGGAGGAGCTACAACTGGACTCTCTCAAGAACTGGGTAGAGCCCCCAATGATCTAATTATTGTTCACTAACCCCTACCCTTTAAAGGCTCTACCATCCAACATCTACTCCCTGGGGACTAAGATTCAGGCACATGAACGTTCACAGGACACCTTCAAACCATATCCTACCACTGCACTTCCTTTTTAGATCTCAGGGGCTCCCCCATACCCCTCTCTGCAGTTTATAACATGTTTCCCCAATGTAACAAGTCTACACTTTATTTGTCTTGATCTCTGCTGTGGTTTAGATCTGAAATGGCTCCCAAAGCCTCATGTGTTTGGCAGGTGATTGGATTGTGGGTGTTTGTAGCTGGCTTGCTATTAAGAAGTTGGAACTGATTAGAAAAGGCAGGCTACTGGGGTTGTGACCCGGAAGTGTTTACCTCCCTTCCCAGCTCCTCCCTTCACTCTCTTTGCTTTCCCAGCTCCATGCCATGAGCAACTCTTCCCTACCATGTCCCTCTGCTGTGATGTCCTGCCTTGGAACCAGCCAACTGTGGACTGACATCACTACTATCTATTTATGAGCCAAAATAAGTTTCTCCTTTAAGTTACAAGTGTTGAGTATTTTATCCTAGCAATGAGAAAAGCAAGACAATCTCCTTTATGATCGATTGCTTTCTAAAGCTATCTAAGGAGCTACTTTAATTTCATCAGTCACAAAATTGTGTGGTGCATCCATAGACTACCTTTCTATCTTGGTTGTACCAAGATGTCTTTGTTTTTTGTTTTTTGGTTTTTTTTGTGGTACCTCGGATCAAACTCATGACCTTGTGCTTGCCAGGCAGGCGCTTATGCCACTGAGCTATGTCCCCAGCCCCAAAGTTTTTGTTGTGTTTGATTTTTGTTTTTGTCTTTTTTTTGTTTTTTTTCCAGTACCGGGAATCAAACTCATGACCTTGCACTTGCCAGGCAGGCGCTGTGCCGCTGAGCTAAATCCCCAGCCCCTAACTGGGTATCTTTGAAGAGGATTGTGTCAGTTCTGTAAGACTCAGTTTCCTCATATGTAAAAGGTTATGATACCTACTTACTTCCTGTTAAAGACCAAGGGTCATGTATACAAAATATTTCAGAACACTGAGAGTGAACCCAGCATGAACTCTGGACTCTTGGCAATCATGAGGTGTCAGAGTGGGTTCATTGATAAAGACAAATGCACCACTCTGGTGGAGGAGTTGGTAATGGGAAAGGTTGACTACACTGAAAGTTGGGGGTATACCAACATACTCTGTACCATCCTCTTAATTTTTCTATAAACCCAAGTTTTCTCTTTAAAAGTAGTCTTTAATTACAAATAAACAAATTGGAAAAAATACATTGCAAAATCTAAATTACTGAAAATTATAATCATCATCAAACCATAAATAGTAGCAGTATCTATGCTGTGTTGCAGTTGGCTTTTGTGCATACGGCTCACCATGGCCTTGGTGTAAGGATCATCTTGA